TTGGAAAGATATTTTACCAAAACCCGTGTGTCGCAAGTCCTGCCATGATATTTTATTTAGAAAGGATAAAATATGACTTCTTTTCTAATTTACAGTGGTTACCATGTAGGAGAAAGGAATGTGTTTAGTAGGAATGTGTTCTTCAGGTGCCCTGGCCAAACTTTGGACCCGTCTATCCATATTGTTGCTGCTTCTTGCTGTTGTTATATGCTCAGTTGTCCCTTAGATCAGTACTGACACAAACAGGTGACACTAGCAACCTTTAGGTGAATTAAGCTCCAAAGTAAAGGACAAGCCAATGGAAGGAGATATGAACCAATGATGGCTGTAGTTTCCGTATCAGTGGTGTGGAAATTTATTCCGGGACTCTGAAATGCACTGTCCAGGGTGCTGAATCTTAAAGCTAACCCTAGTTCAGAACTTGAAATTGTCCATGACAAGCATAGGTAAAAACTGGAGGAGGTTAGTCACTAAACTGACATGGAATCCCTCAACTGGCACTAGATATAGCTACTCATAGCAGACCCTCCAGGACTTGAAGCCATGAAAAAAGTGGTCCTACAAGAGGACTCAATGAAAGGTCCTACCTTATGCTGCCTAAGCCACTGTTCCTAATGTCTGCCATGGTCATACACATACCAAGTGTTCCTACAGTCAGCAGTCTCTCACATCTCAATCCATAACTTCCTCTGTTTCAAAAAAAGCTTCCCAAACCCAGCAAAGTGCTCATGCTGTCCAAGAGCAATGAGTCACAGAACACACAAAAAAACACCCAAAGGATTCAACACAGTGGTGCCAGGGGCTCCCTGTGTGACGGCAAAGTTCTGCTCAAGGGCACAATGAGAATGCCATTTGGCTGTAAGTGGATGACACACAGCTCTGGATCTGACAGACAGCAGGGGGGCTCTCTCTGTTTTCATGCTGTTGTTTCTGCCCTACAACTCCTCAGATCATGGGATAAGAAGTGTTTTTTAAAAGGGTGAAAACAAAAACTTGGCACAATCATGGGCATCATAAAAAGCCACCTATTTCATGTTTTGCTTGTGACAGGGTTACTTCTCCATCCTGCCAAGGAACACCACTGATGCTGCTTGCTAGTGGGAGGTAAATTGCCTTGTGACACTATACCATATTTTGAGAAGCACTGTAGCCCTGACAGCTTAAGCAAAGCAACAATGAAAGTGGGAAAATAGCACCAGGGAAAGAAGGAGGACCAAAAAAACACAAGTAGAGTGGCTATCAAATTGTAAATCCAGGAATACCATTGCTCATTTGTGTGATACGACAAGACCTCCACAAAAATGACCGAGGAGCGATTCCTTTCGCCATGCTATCTTAAGGGGAAACCAGAGCTGACCGTTGACAATCCATTTCCAATCTGCCTCTTTAAAGATTGTCTGCTTCATGATTTCGCAAAGCTTGCTGAAGACCATCGGCGGAGATTTCGGGTTAGACACAGAGGCTGGAAGGAGTGGGAAGTTGGCACAGTGGATTTGCCAGTGGACATTTACATGTCAGAGATACTATGGAGATGTGGCTTTGAAGAGCCTGTCTGAACGCTATTCAGCTAAGAGGCTTTAAAAAGGGCTCTGCGGGGATGCAAAGATGTATTAGCAGGCTCTTCTCCAAAAAAGGCAGCTGCACTTTATGCCATGAAATACCAGCTGAGCGAGGTCAGACTAATACCTGTTCCCCATGTGTTCGAATAGAATAGACAGAAATACAGTAACCCTAGGTAGCGAGTGCTGCAAAAGAATGGGCAAAGATTTCCACAATAAGGGTTGCTTTCTAGGTCTTAGACATGCGTCTTGTTCTTTAGGAGCCAACTGCATCCTAGACATGCTGTTTCTCGCAAAAGCTTCACACAGATACAAAGATAATAACCCAAAAACTCTTGTGTGACCCTATATAATATGGAAAGACGCTCCGACTGCTAAACATATAAGATATTCAGTCATCACAATTGCACAATTACATTGATGCAGTTGTGGTGACTATTGTAATATCCCATATGTTCGCAGTTGGAGTGTCTTTCCATGTATCTTAAGCATTCACAACTTTTAACAGAATTGAGGAGTGGGAAAATAAATTGCTCGCAGAGCAAACTCTCAAACTGTTCCAAAGTGAGTGATGTTTGTTTGTCAACACTATCTGAAATCTTTATGAAGCTATGAGGTCTATGTGGTTATTTGCGGTGGCCTATTAATTAACATCTTTGGGATCCCAACAGGATGCAATGAGGTGTCCAAAGCTTGTGTAAGACGACATGAAGCAATTGGTCTTTCAGTGCTATGGCAAACATGTCACACAATGCAAAGCAAGCAAGAGAAGAAACGTCCAAACTATTTCAGGGACACCCTACCTCACAGAAAATAAAGACAATACCTTTATAGCCCGCATCTACAGAGAGTCACAGCACTATCAGTCTAGGCACACACCAGCAGGTATTGTATCATAAAACTACCTTTAGAAAGAGAAAACTAACTGAAATCTTTATGAAGCTATGAGGTCTAGATGGTAATTCGCTGTAGCCTATTAGTTAACATCTTCGGGATCCCAACAGGATGCAATGAGGTGTCCAACTAATAATAATAATAATAATAATAATAATAATAATAATAATTTTATGTATATACCACTCCATCTCCCCGAGGGGACTCCGAGCGGTTCCCAGGTAACATCACAAAGCATACAAAGTAAAAACATCATAACCATAAGATTAACAAAACAAAATATAAGCATAAAAATTGTTGCCAAAGCCTGTGTAAGATGACATGAAGCAATTGGTATTTTAGGGCTATGGCAAACATGCCACACAATGCAAAGCAAGCAAGAGGGGAAAAAGCATCCAAACTGTTTCAGGGACACACACCTCACAAAAATAAAGACAATACCTTTATAGCCTGAATCTACAGAGAGTCACAGCACTTATCAGTCAAGGCACACACTTACGGGTATTGCATCACAAAAGTGCTTTTAGAAAGAGGAAACTTTCCAATTGCTGTTCACCCCACAGAATCATTTCAGGGACTTTGGAGGCTAGTTTGGCATTAGGCACCAAAACAGTCTATAATGAAGTAATAATTGCATTCAAGCAGCCAGGCTCCTGTGGGCTACTAACCTAGTTTCCTGCCATCCAATACTTATTGTCCGGAAATTGAAACACACCTACATGAGCGTGAAGGGTGGCCCCTTTCCCTGAAAAACCCCAGCGAGGGAGCAGCTTCTCAGAGAAGGACGATGCAACAGGCAACAAGGAGCTACTAGAACAGGCATGGACAAACTTTGCCCCCTCCCCAGGTGTTTTGGACTCCAACTCCCACAATTCCTAACAGGTGGTATTTTATTTATTTATTTATTTCGGATATTTTTACCCCACCCTTCTCAATCCCCTAGGGTTGAGAAGCCAGCACATATTCGATGCCGGTAGACTGTTAGGAATTGTGGGAGTTGGAGTCCAAAACACTTGGAGGGTCAAAGTTTGCCCATGCTTGTACTAGAAACATTCCAACTCTTTCCACAGGAGAGCCAGATTCCTCCATGCTGGACAAAGCAGCTGTGTTGAATCCCAATGTCATGACTTTCATGCTTGGTGTGCTCAGGAAACAAACCAACCAAGCTCCCTTTGATCTGAAACCCAAACTTCCGCAGGGTCCCCAACATATTGAGGAAAAGGAGAGTAAATGGGTTAAAGATCAGACTTAACCTACCAAGAACCTGCAGTATTTATGTGCCATATCAACACCATGCTCCCAATATGTACTGATTTACCAAGAGGTGTGTCGGACTGTGAGGTTGTCGTTCTGCAAGCATAGGCTCTGAATCAATGCCCAGCTGGTCCCATGTGGCCAACAAAGGGAGGAGAAGGGTCCAAAAAGCCATTCCTCATTCAGAAGCACAGCACTAAGTTTAAGCTTCCCTCTTCATTGTTCAACAGATGGACCTGTTGTGTTGGCTTCCCCTCCCCCTTGCTTCCCAAACAAGCCTCATCCTGAGAATGATGCTGGGTCCGTTGGGTGAGACACAGATGGCACCGGGTGAATGAAAGGGGTGTCTAGTAGGGGCAGGGAGGGAGCCAAGAGACACTCAGTCAGTCCCTCTATTCCACAGGTGAGTGTTTTCCACCTCAGGCAGGAGGCAGTCTCATAGCTTGGAGACTTGTGTATGTATTTACTGGGCCCAAGAGAGACAAAAGGGCCAAGGTTTGTTCAAAACAGACCCTCCTAACCTGAAATGTCTCCTTGAATCTCATTCAAAGAGGGGTAGTAACAAAAATAATGACAATAGCGGTTATCATAGTCTCCCCCTGAGTCTTCAATTCATAAAACAGATCCTCCTAACCTCAAATGTCTCCTTGAATCTCATTCAAAGAGGGGTAGTGACAATAATAATGACAATAATGGTAATCATAACCTCCCCCTGAGTCTTCAATTCATCTTTTTTCCAGGAGAAGGTACCACAGTTGTGCTGAAGCAGCTTAAGATGAATGAGAGGAACTCCCGGGCACATCCAGCTTCTGTTTGAACCTTAAGAGCATCCCAGAGACACAGCACACCTGGATAGAAGCAGAGCTTCCCATTGATCCGGTCGTGGGTTTGGGAAAGAGAAGACAGGTATATCTAGAGAGGGTTCATAGAGGAAGGTGGCCCGGGATGCGCCTTCCCTCGCCCTCTTTCCCTTCCTTCCTTCTCCAAAATGAAACCCTCCTCACCCTCATCCACACACCAACCCTCTTTCGCGACCGTTAAGTGAGGAAAAAACCAGACACGGCACCAAATCGTCCCCTCCACGGTCTCCTCTCCGTGGAGCATCACCAAACCAACTCCTTCCCGAGGAAAGGAAGCCAAAGAAGCCAGCCAACAACTCCCTTTTCTAAAAGGGGAAACGGGGAGTCCATCTCTCTCCCTTTCCCCCAAACAAGCTCCTCAATCTCCGCAAACAACCTGGAAAGTGGGTGCGAAAGATGTGCGCCCTTGTTCGGATCCAAAGGGGTGTCCTACCTTGGCCGAGAAGGCAGAAGCAGAGGAGGACCAGGTCTGCCTGGAGAGCTTTCATTCCTTAGAGTTGCGGCGAGGGAAAAAGGAGAGGAACTTGCGCGCTGCCCAGCCGCCTCCGCCGCTTGGATCCTGCTGCCTCTTCTTCTTCTCCTCCTTGCCTTCCTTCCTTCACTAGAAGAGGCAAGGGAGCATCGCCGAGAGGAGGAACAGCCTGCTCGCGGTGCTTCTGCTCCTCTCAGCGGCGCTTCCTCTCTGCCCGCCTGCTTCTTCTCCTCCTCCTCCCTTCTGCTCGCCGCCGCTCCATGCCCAGCTCTTCTTCTTCTTCGCCGCCGCCGCCGCCTTGGCGCTCGCCGCCGCCCCCTCCTCCTCGCCCGCCTGAGCTCCTCCTCCCTCCGCCGCCCCCCGCTTGGCAGGAGTGACGGTCAGGGGAGGCTTTAAAGAGGAACTCCGCGCGGGGAAGCCACGCACAAAAAAAGAGAAGGAGAGGAAGAGGAGGAGGAGGAGGAGGAGGACGCGGCGCAGCTCTTCGCCCGCTCCGCTCCTCTTGCCGCTCTTCAGCTTTGGACCGCCTGCATGCGGAAGGGAAGAAGGAAGGAGGAAAGGGAAGGGGAAGGAATGAAGAGAAGGGAAAGAGGGAAGGAAGGAAGGGAAGGGGAAGAATAGGGGAATGAAGGAAGGAGAAGGAAGAAAGGAAGGAGAAAGTGGAAAGGAATGAAGGAGGGAGAAAAAGGAAAGGGAAGGAAGGAAAAAGAGGAAGGGAAAGGAGAAGAAGTGAAAGGAAAGGGAAGGAAGGAGAAAAGGGAGGGAAAGGAGTGAAGAAAGGAAGAAAGAAGGAAGGAGAAAGTGGGAAAGGAAAGGGGAAGGAAGGAGAAAAGGGGAAGGAAAGGGAAAGAATGAAAGAAGGAAAAGAAAGGGAAAGAAAGGGGGAGAAGGAGGAAAGGGGAAGAAAGGGGAAGAAAAAGAAAGAAGGAGAGGAAAGGAAGGGGAAAGGAGAAAGGGAAGGGAGGAAGAGAAAAGGGAGGGAAGGAAGGAAAGAGAAAAGGGAAGGAAGGAGAAGGGGAAGAAGGAAAGAGAAAGGAAGGGAGAGGAGAAAGGGAAGGAAAGGGGAGGGAAAGAAAAAAGAAAGGGGAAGAAGGAAAGAGAAAGAGGAAGGAAGGAAGGAGAAGGAAGAAGGAGAAAAGGGAAAGAAGGAAGGGAGAATAGGTAAGGGAAAGGAAGGAAGGAGAAAAGGGCAAGGGAAGGAAGGAAGGAGAAAGGGGGAAGGAAGGAAAGAGGAAGGAAGGAGAAAGGGGCACGGAAAGGGGAAAGAAGGAGAAAAGGGAAAGGGAAAGAAGGAAGGAGAATACGGAAGGGAAGGTGGGAGAAGGAGAAAAGGGAGGAAGGAAAAAGAAAGGAAGGAAGGAAGGAAAGAAAAGAAAGGGGAAGGAAGGAGAAAAGGAAAGAAGGAAGAGAAAGGGAAGAGAAAGGGGAAGGAAGGAGGAAAGGGGAAGGAAGGAAAAAAGAAAGGAAGGAAGGAGAAGGGGAAAAAAGGGGAAGGAAGGAGAAAAGGAAAAGGGAAAGAAGGAAAGAGAATAGGGAATGGGAAAGGGGGAAGGGGGAAGGAAGGAGAAAAGGAAAGGGAAGGAAGGAAGAAAAGGGAAGCGAAAGGGGAAAGGAAGGAAGGAGGAATGGAAAGGCAAAGGCCGAAGGAAGGAAGGCCTTAGTATCCCCCTTAGTATTAAGCCTCTTTCCCTCCTCTCTCTCTCCCAATAGAAAGGAACAGGTGTCACCTTCTCGCTCCAAGTTTGCAGGAACTCCAAGGCGAAGCACACCAAGACCAAGCTCCTTTTTCCTGGGAAAGGAAGGGATCCCCGCGGAAGTTGAGGCCGGGGGAAGAGGGCCGCCAACGCCTGAAGACAGAGAAAGAAACGACGCTGGGTTTGGGAAGGAAGGAAGGAAGGATTCCCTTTGGCTTTGCACGGCGTTGGCTCGGAAGCCGAGGCGCTCCGTTCCTTCCTCGCTAGCCAACAACCCAAAGGAGCCTTAAAGCGACAGGCTACTGAATGCAGTCCCAAACTGGCATTCAAGAGAGTGATTTCTGTGCCTGCAAATGATGAGAGAAGCAATCCTGGAAGCCCTGACAGGGATGACACAAGCAGCACGGCACCGAAACTGCATGATATGGTCAATCAATGAAGATCAATGTAGACCAAGCATGGGCAACCTTGGGCCCTCCAGGTGTTTTGGACTCCAACTCCCACAATTCCTCACAACCTCAGGCCCTTTCCTTTACCCCTCAGCCCTCAGGACACTGGAAATGCATGATATGGTCAGTGTAGACCAGGCATGGGCAAAATTGGGCCCTCCAGGTGTTTTGGACTCCAACTCCCACAATTCCTCACAGCCTCAGGCCCTTTCCTTTACCCCTCAGCCCTCAGGACACTGGAAATGCATGATATGGTCAGTGTAGACCAGGCATGGGCAAAATTGGGCCCTCCAGGTGTTTTGGACTCCAACTCCCACAATTCCTCACAGCCTCAGGCCTTTCCTTTATCCCTCAGCCCTCAGGACACTGGAACTGAATGATATGGTCAGTGTAGACCAGACATGGGCAAGCTTGGTGTTTTGGACTCCAACGCCCACAATTCCTCACAGCCTTAGGCCCTTTCCTTTACCCGTCAGCCCTTAGGAGACTGGAAATGCATGATATGGTCAGTGTAGACCAGGCATGGGCAAACTTGGGCCCTTCAGGTGTTTTGGACTCCAACTCCCACAATTCCTCACAGCCTCAGGCCCTTTCCTTTACCCCTCAGCCCTTCTAGAACACTGGAAATGCATGACATGGTCAGTGTAGACCAGGCACGGGCAACCTTGGGCCCTCCAGGTGGTTTGGACTCCAACTCCCACAATTCCTCACAACCTCAGGCCCTTTCCTTTACCCCTCAGCCCTCAGGACACTGGAAATGCATGATATGGTCAGTGTAGACCAGGCATGGGCAAAATTGGGCCCTCCAGGTGTTTTGGACTCCAACTCCCACAATTCCTCACAGCCTCAGGCCCTTTCCTTTACCCCTCAGCCCTCAGGACACTGGAAATGCATGATATGGTCAGTGTAGACCAGGCATGGGCAAAATTGGGCCCTCCAGGTGTTTTGGACTCCAACTCCCACAATTCCTCACAGCCTCAGGCCCTTTCCTTTACCCCTCAGGCATTCTAGAACACTGGAAATGCATTATATGGTCAGTGTAGACCAGACATGGGCAAGCTTGGTGTTTTGGACTCCAACGCCCACAATTCCTCACAGCCTTAGGCCCTTTCCTTTACCCGTCAGCCCTTAGGAGACTGGAAATGCATGATATGGTCAGTGTAGACCAGGCATGGGCAAACTTGGGCCCTTCAGGTGTTTTGGACTCCAACTCCCACAATTCCTCACAGCCTCAGGCCCTTTCCTTTTCCCCCTCAGCCCTCAGGACACTGGAAATGCATTATATGGTCAGTGTAGACCAGGCACGGGCAACCTTGGGCCCTCCAGGTGTTTTGGACTCCAACTCCCACAATTCCTCACAGCCTCAGGTCCTTTCCTTTATCCCTCAGCCCTCAGGACACTGGAACTGAATGATATGGTCAGTGTAGACCAGACATGGGCAAGCTTGGTGTTTTGGACTCCAACGCCCACAATTCCTCACAGCCTTAGGCCCTTTCCTTTACCCGTCAGCCCTTAGGAGACTGGAAATGCATGATATGGTCAGTGTAGACCAGGCATGGGCAAACTTGGGCCCTTCAGGTGTTTTGGACTCCAACTCCCACAATTCCTCACAGCCTCAGGCCCTTTCCTTTACCCCTCAGCCCTTCTAGAACACTGGAAATGCATGACATGGTCAGTGTAGACCAGGCACGGGCAATCTTGGGCCCTCCAGGTGTTTTGGACTCCAACTCCCACAATTCCTCACAGCCTTGGGCCCTTTCCTTTCCCCCCTCAGTCCTCAGGACACTGGAACTGCATGACATGGTCAGTGTAGACCAGGCATGGGCAATCTTGGGACCTCCAGGTGTTTTGGACTCCAACTCCCACAATTCCTCACAACCTCAGGCCCTTTCCTTTCCCCCCTCAGTCCTCAGGACACTGGAACTGCATGACATGGTCAGTGTAGACCAGGCATGGGCAATCTTGGGCCCTCCAGGTGTTTTGGCCTCCAACTCCCACAATTCCTCATAACCTCAGGCCCTTTACCCCTCAGCCCTCAGGACACTGGAACTGCATGACATGGTCAGTGTAGACCAGGCATGGGCAACCTTGGGCCCTCTGGTGTTTTGGACTCCATCTCCCACAATTCCTCACAGCCTCAGGCCCTTTCCTTTACCTCTCAGGACTTCTAGGACACTGGAAATGCATGATATGGTCAGTGTAGATCAGGCATGGGCAACCTTGGGCCCTCCAGGTGTTTTGAATTCCAACTCCCACAATTCCTCACAGCCTCAGGCCCATTCCTTGTCTCTTATTCTACCTGCCAAAGCCCAGGAAAGAAAGAAACAGCTGTAATCAATGGGCATGAATGAGGGGCCATGTTTTCCAAATCAGATCCTGGTTTTCAAAAGCCTGTGTGTTTATTCTTTTTGGGGTGGGAGGGCTTTTTGGTCAGCTTGCTCTTCTCAGAATAGCAATCAAGCCTATCCAGGTGGCTAGGCTCTCATCCATAGAGATGGAAAGGGAGCACAACACAAAGTGAAGGAAGATTTAGAACACCTGTGCTTAAACACAGGTGTTCTAAATTTTCCTAATAGACACATAGGCGACACTACACAGTTTCATAATGCAGTGGAGTTGAACTGCATTATATGGCAATGTAGATAGGGCCACAGAGGGCTTCTTTGCAACCATTAAATAATAATAATAATAATAATAATAATAATAATAATAATAATAATAATAATGGCATAGAAATGCCAAACGGACAAACCATAAAGTGCAATCAGTCTGAAGCCTATAAATATCTGGGCATACTACAATTGGACAATATCAAGCATGGGCAAGTGAAAAATGTGGTCAGCAAAAAATATATCCAAAGAGTCAAAAAGGTTCTGAAGGGCTAATTAAATGGCGGAAATACAATCAAGGCTCTCAACACCTGGGCCATCCCCATCATTAGATACATTGCTGGGATTGTGAACTGGACACAAGCAGAGCTGGATGATCTGGACAGAAAAAAGAAAACTGATGACAATTTATTTATTATTTATTTTATTTATTTATTGCTTTTATAACACAGTCTTCTACACCTCCGAGGAGGGACTCAGGCTGGCTAACAACAGAGAATCAATATACAAATAAACTAAAGCATAATAACA